CCGGACGCTGGGACTGCCCGGCCGCACGCGGCGCCGGGCCGCGCCCGTGTGCCAAACAACGGCGAGCAACGACCGCCGCCACGACCGCGTATTACGTGCATGCAAGAATGCATCCAAACATGTATTACGTATGTATGTTTTCTGCAGTAACACGGAAGCGTACACAGTACACACAAGTTCTCATGTCTTCATGCATGGTCCGAAATTGAGAATACACAACGCTCGCCACATATCCATATGCATGCTCACAAGTCATGACATGATTTAAGGTCACGTGTCGGAAGACGGTCGAGTTGTGAGGTGATATATGGTAACGTGATACATGATTCCCTACCAACGCGCATGCCATTGGAGGCTGGATATATTTAAGGCGGCATGCTTGACGGGTGTTTACGGGTGCCATGCATTAAGGGGGGGGGGGCGTTCATAACAGAGTGCCCCTGCATTGCGGGGGGGGGTCGTAACGGCCAGAGGCACCCGAAGCAGCAGGCACCCCGCAGTGAGCGCAGCAAAATGTTTGAACTGGGCTCCATAGAAACGCTGGGTTCAATCGCACGTGACTGATCACCGACGCGATGGACTTGTGAAACAGCTATTGAGCCTCGACTCCGCAGGGAGTTATGCATACATCATCGACCAGGCAGAGGAGTGGCAGCAAGTCCACTAATCAGGCCCAAGACGCGATGTCTGAAATGTCAGATTGTGTCAAGCAGGGCTATCAATCGATGTAGCAACCGCTGTTGGTTTTATAACACGCAGTATGGAAACGCACCCAGACACATTCAGAAGCAGAGCACATTCCGATCAGATCAGCACTCCGAACGTGCACTGGTGTGTGGTGTCAAGCCATCTACAGCAGCGTCCTGCGACTCCAATATTTCGCTTTCGAAGACCACGGCTCTTGAAAAGTCGACCCACGTGTTTGGCCGCACTCAGTATGGAGGGCAGAGCTCACCTGCCCTGCCTGCCACCCGCCCAGCACTCAGCCAGTGGCATCGCGGTGAGGCAAACTGTGGTAATTAGTTCCAGTTATGGAACATTACACCTTTGAAATGGGGTTTACAAAGACGGGTCCGGAATATGGCACTCGCACCTTTGCCGTCGTTTGCACATGATACGCGCTGACAACACGCCTGGCCACGTTCTGTGTTGGGGCTGTTTTGAAGGTCTGGTGCGGGGCGCGGGGTGGAGGTCGGGGCTGAGCGCGCTTGCCACTACGGAGTGACTGCACCGCTGCTCAGCGTGACACCGTGCCGCGCCGGCCGCTCCCGCCACGCCGGCCACCAATGCGCCGCCACGCCGGCCACCAATGCGCCGCCACTCTTCTCCCGCCACCAGCGCGCCCGGCTCGACCCTGCGCGCCCACACGCCGGACAGGGACCGGAGGACGGCGCTGCACGCAGTAAACGCCTGCACGCAGTAAACGCTCCCGGCCGGCGACGTACCACCCCGCCGCGCCGGCCGAGCCAGACACCCGTCCTGGGGCGCGGACTGCACCACTCCTCTCGTGACCACGTGGCGAGTCTGAGGACCTCGTCTAACACGTGGAGCCACTCTCTCCGGTGTCCGCGGCGGTGCGAGGACCAGACCGGCCGCGTGCAGAAACGCCTAGCCGTCCCAGGGACGGCGGATGGGTGGGGTCGTGACGTCATCGGTCGCCCACGGATTCCTACCCAGACCACGGAAACTCAAGGGGACAGGTAGGCAGGCTCGCACCCGCGAGAGGTTGGCCCTCTCATTCCATGCGCCGCTGACAGCGCTCCCAACCGACGCATCGCACCCGCCCCAGCTTCGCCTGCGCCGCTCTCCGACATGCCGGGTCATCTAGCGGCGAGCAGCGACAGTGCAACGGCTGTTACGACGGCTTCACGGCGGCTACCGTCCAGCGAGGAGCGGCCGTCCGCCGAGGCGGCACGCCGCGCCGGCACCAGCGGCTGCCGCGCCCAGCCACGGCCGCGCCGCTCCGGGCCCTGTCCCACATCCATGAATTAGCAGCGGCCGTTAGAAAGCCACACGTCCACCCCTAATGGCGTGTTTGCCGCCCCGGCGGCGCAAAAAGGCGTCCAGGCGCGCGCGGTCATCGCGCCTAGGGCGGAAGCCGTACGCGTGGCCGGGTGGCCGGGTGGCCGGCCGGCCGACCGCGCTAACCTTGGCGCCGTGCGTTACGACACGCGGCCGCGCCCGACCCGGTAAATACGGCCATAACGGACAGCGTCGGCCCTCGGCTGTGGCTGACCGCACGCACGCGCGCGGGGCCACTCCATCACCGCACCTCGCCCACACGCACGCGCACACACACACCATGCACACTCACATATGTGCATGGCGTGGACCCCTGCCGACTTACTCATTCTGTCGTCGCCTTTCGTCGGCCGGCGGCGCTGGCCGACGACCTGCGACGCCAGCTGGCCGCAATCGCACCTGCGGATACCCTGCCTCACGCACAACACACAGACGATAACCTACGTCGGCGCCATCTCCTCGCCACGGCCAACCCCGCGCCCCGCACGCATACGTGTAGGACTTCCACAGAGGATAGTGCAATCCTCACGCACACGTTCGCGTGCGCCGCAGTACGAGCCGAAACATCGCGAGCTCGACCCAGGCCACCGGACCGACGCCGCAGTCGACGTCAGGCTGTGACAGCCTCGCGTGCGAATACATACTCTAACGAGTCTCATCTGTGGTCGAGGTCTGCTGTAGCGGCGGCAGCTGACCGCACTTACACAGCCGCGGCAGCGGCTCCAACATCCAACATCTCAAAATACACTCTGTCACTGGCCGAAGGCAGGCAACAGAAACTGGCTGCATTTGCGCGTGCGCAGAAAAACGCAGTTCGTTGCCGCACCTCCTCTCCCAGTGAACACAGACCGCGCCGCCAGACATCGACGCCTCAGGCAGACACTCACGCGCAGTCGCAGCCCTGGAAAACGCCGCTCACCCGCCGCCAAACACGTCCAGAAACACGGCAGAGCTGATCCAGAGCCTGATCCAGAGCTGATCCCACCGTCGCGCGGCCCCCAACACAGACTGGCAACACCGGCCCGGCACGCGCGGCCGCTGCTCCAGCTCGCACAACCGCGCAGGCTGGCGCGGCCGGCCGCCGACGCCGTAACCGACGCCACGCGCAGGCGAGTTTTCTGCGTGGTTCACGAAGCTAATCCGGACGTGGCCGAGCGCATCGGCCTGCCCACGACAGTCGGTAGGACGCGGTCCGGAGCCAGCCGCTGCGCCAGCCGTCAAACTCGGGAAGCCCGCCGGCCGACGACGCGCCGCTCTGCGGTTCGAGGCCGCTTGGGCCGGCTCGTGACGCGACCGTCCCGCTCCCCTCCACCATGCAAATGATAACCGATGCCCACCCGTTCCCGCGTGCCGACTCAGCGACGTCGGCCGAGCGGCGAGTGCTCTGCACAAAGAAGCGTCGCTTCCCACGGCATGCCCCGCGGCGGCGTAACGGCGTCCAGCTGTCGCGCGGGCGCCGGTGGGCGGGAACTGGTTGCGGGAGGTCGTGGGATTTCCGCCAGACTTCGTCAGCGAGCGTGCCGGTGACGGGGCCAAGGTTACGGGCAGTCTGCGGCCGGTGACGTCACGCTGACCAGCGCGGCTCCCGCGGCTGCAGATAGCGCTGCCACCCACGCCACGGTGACGGCTCAAGGGCGCGGTCAGCCAAGTTGGCAGGGACGGCGGCTAGGAAGTGAGAATGCTAGTGCTTGTAACACAGATGGTAAAGGTCCTTTAGGCGCTTGCAGGACATCGCGCGACGTTTGAGAATGTTGTGGCAGTATTTAATAAGTTAACTGTAGCAAACTGAGCAACCAGAACACGGGGAATGCGGCGCAAATTACCACGAACGATTTTCATGGAGCATTGGCGACTTACAGTGGTCATGCCAGTGCTCAGAAGCCATGGCGAAACCGGCATTCGAACCCAAACAAGCGCATGCTGGACCGAGGTCACGAAGATCCCGCGATGACACCCCTAAACAGGTGGATTAAAAGCTCGCAGCTTGCGTAGGGCACACAAAGCATAGCCATCAGTGACCGTGACGTTCAATTTCGGCATTCACGTTCAGACAATAGTTTTTGAAAACCTTCAATTGCATTGCAGTCAACAGAGCGCAGAAATAGTTGGCTCGGTATTGATCGTGTCATCCCAGATCAAATTACCACATCGCTTGCTCCGATTGTTTTTGTGGCCTGTCTTGTTTGATAAGGCACACTTTGATCGACCTAATCACACTGGCCAATAAGACAAATGGCCGCCGTTTTACGATACCCGGGTAATTTTCAGCCCAATGTGTCGGCAGCAGACCTTCGCTTGAAGGGATTGGGTGAAGCAAAACTTGGTCTTGACTTCACACACGTAACACAAAGGGAGCTTCGTCATACTCAGATACTTCTTGCATCTGTTACAAGCCGGTTGTTTTTCCGCTGCAATTTGTCTCCAAACTGTCGGCTTCAATACAGCCGACAAGATATTACATACATAGTACATTTCAGTACGAACACTATAATGTATACACCCCATACCTATCCGATTTTGAAGGTAAAGTAATGTTGACCATGCGCCTCGAGCAAATGCGGTAAGGCCAATGCCTTAATTAGACTTGGACTACGGATCAAATTAAAATCCCCACGGGTGGTTAAATCAAGCTTGACATCAATACATCAGCTTGTATCGTGAACAAGATATCCGTTTATCAAAACTGATCCCACAGTTATCGTTGATATTTAGTTCATTTTTGACGTTGCTGTGTTCACCACTGACAGAGCAATGTAAAATATATCTCACAGCAAACAAGACCGAACTTACATAAGCAGGGTTCACTTAAACAGCCTTTTTAACATAAGGCAAGATGCAGATGTTCCATGATGGTAGCAGCTAAGCCGCCATTGTTGCACGGGATGGCCATGGCCGACTCGCATTTGACACACAAACCCTGACAACATCGCCATTTGACACACAAACCCTGACAACATCGCCATTGAGACTGGGCGTACCGCGGCGATCAACCGAGGTCCTGCGGTGTAGGAGCTGAGCTCGCCCCATCCCGTCAGCGGGCGGCGGGCGGGCGGCGGCGTACCTGGCCAGCGCGCGGCGGCGGCGCTGTCTCGGGCCGGGCGTCGGTGACCGGCCGCGACCGCCGTCCTCTCGCGTCCGTCTGGGGTCAGGCAGCCGCGCGGCGCCGGCAGACACCGTCACCATTGCTCCTGCAACGGACGCGGTGCTGTCAGGCGACCGCGCGTCGCCGCCCTACCCGCGATCGCTGGCACGCTCGCACTATACTGCAGGCAATGCATGGGCGGCGCCTGCAGAAACGCACTAAACAAAAGTGTTCAGCTGTCGTGCGGCCCCCTCCCCCACCTCTAGTCTGCGTGACTTCTGCAAATAGCATGCAAGGGACTCTTCGCTACAGACCGGCACCTGTGAGCGCGCGCTCGCTGCTGAAGGGCTGCTGACTGCTTTTGATGTGTGGCGATGGGTTACGCAGTAACCACGCCCGGACTTATATGTTCGCAAGTCTGACATAGCTACGACGCCGGCTACCACGCCACACCGGGCCGTTCGCGCAGCTCGTGATAAAGTACGTACAGTGTAAATCTACTCATTTGTATCGGTACATTCCGATGTAATCAAGGATCATTAATATACGCACAAGTAACTAAAAACAAACTAGCATCTTTAAAACAAAGTTTATCCAGCATATGGAAACTTCCTGATGAATAGCACTCGGCACTGTGGTGAAATGGCGGCGTCTTGGCACCACGGCTCTCGGTTTATGCTCTAACGCCGCGGACACAAAAAACGTCATCAACTTCATTAACAGCGGCGCAAAGAAAGCAATGTGTATCCGTACTAATTCGTAAGTGCGTCGCAGGAATGCCGTTCGGCCGCACCATCAGGAACGATCGTGAGCTACTTCTGGAGCGATGCACACTGTGCAGAAGCACGAGCTCGCTATGTACGATGCAGTGGCGCCACATGGCATGACTCCGACTAAATAGGCGGAGGTATGTGTCAATGACGGAGGTAAGTGTCAGAGCTCTGCTTAATGACGCAGCATTAATTAAGTTCTATGAAAGATCCTACAGCACGCTACTGGAAACAGCAGCTCCATCACACAACAAAACAAAAACATTCGCCAGTAGAAAAGCGGAAACAATTCATTTACCGTGCTGGATTTCTGTTGCACTTCTCCAAAGAAATACAGCAAATCGTAATAAAAGCGTCCCCTAGCAAAAAAGAAAAGAAAAAAAAGAACACCTAACATACTGTACTTTTCGACCTTTTTGTTCCGCGTTAAAGCCATCGGGTGAAACGTTGTGATATAGAAGTACGATTACTCGGTTCACACCTCCCGCTACCCGTGAATAGCGCCAATTTCCAAAAAAAAAACAACAACAAAAACAACATAGCATCCAAGGAAAAATGTGTCAGAGAACATGTTGCATGCGTCATGATGGTATCCCAGAGATGATATGCCGTGTATTTAACTCGAAAACGGTTTCCAGAGAACTCAGTCCCTTTAATAGGTGGTAAACACCTGACCAGTGAACATGAGCATGCTCACTGACATGTGAGCATGCCTAACCATGCCCGGATTTCTCAGTCGTTTTAGCTCACCCCCATTACAGGCATTACATTACACCAAAGCACGCATTACATCGCACAACAGGCACCAGAATGTCAAATACCACGAAATACAAACGAACGCAAGCAACAAACTGGCAACTACAACTGTCCGAACGCGGGCGTGACTAACAGGCGCACATCCGTGATATACCCCCCAATGACAGGTGGCGCCTCTACAACGGCTCCGCCTGGCGGTGAAGCGCCGTGACACGCCAGGGGGCGCGTGACGGTCCGACCAATGAACATCGAGCAAAAGCCGTGCCAAGCGTTGCCAAGTATTTGAATTCAGTGATTGCATAGCACAGTAGCTGCGGCGACCGGACAAGGTCAGGAGCTGCGTGCTCAGCAATGGGCGCGTGGTTCAACGATGAGCGCCCTTAATTAACTACGCCGCTGGCTGTGGGTGACGAATGGCCTGCGGCTGTGGCGCTGCTCATGCACCCGCTAAAAGGTACACGGGTCAATCACAGAGTGTAAAGGGACGCAAGGATCGCTGGCGTTATTAGTGATCGAGCGTTTATGTGAGCTGTCCACATATGATTATATTCCTAGCAAATCGAAAATACTTGAGAGCCTGCGCAAATGTACTTCGTTCGGTTCATTCTTGGTCTGGATACAACTCACAGGGGGGGGGGGGGGGGGGGTGAGCACTTGAGCGTTCATGGGACAGTTGAGCTTCCCGAACCGCCCCTTACAGTATAAGCTGCTGGTTGCACATGTACCTGGTGTCCATCCCGTCGCTCAATCGGTTAGAGCGCGTGCCGTCCAGCCCACGAGGGCCTAGGGGCGCTCAATCGCTTTAGAGCGCGTGCCGTCCAGCCCACCCGTGACGGGAAAGAGGTTAGAGTCGCTTTACTACTATACGTGTCTGCTATACGTCCCTGACCGGGATGGCCTAGGGACGGTGGCAACGGCTGCGCTTGAAGTCAAGTGAGGTCCCAAGACAGGACGGACCGCGCCGAACATTGCGGCACGGTAAACTTCCGCTGCAAAATCCTGCCATTGAGCACTGAAACATGCAAACCTCCCTTTAATCAGCAAAAGCCACGAAGCTTTTCAACCAAGATGGTGGGATGTTTACTGGATTGTTGGATGCTGATGCAAATAGTAGATTTTCAGGTTGCATGTGGCTTTAGAAGTATCAATTACATTGTGATGGCTTGGAGCATTCTGTGCTAATGTGATGTTCAAGTTTGTAAGAGTACTGCAATTTTTGTCACTTAAATAGTGGATGCTGAAGTTCCTTTTCGTGATCCCCATTCAAATTTGACTACAAATCATCTGACCCCCAATAGGTACCTTCAATTGCTCAAAGGTGACCATGTGGATACTTAGGGTCTTGTTGATTGTCCAGGGCCATCTAGACCACTAAGAGGTCATGTTCACCATTTTGTCTGTTTGTGGGTCTCTCTGGCTGTCACGGGTCGCAGTTAATGCCCTAGGCTCTGTCTGTTCAATAGCTCTGGCTGTTCAAAGGCATTTTAGCTGCTGAGGGGCTTGTATGGTCACTGAGGGGCTTGTATGGCCAATGATGGTTTTGTATGGCCACTGCATGGCTTGTATGGTCAGTGAGGGCTTGTTTGGCTGCTGACAGGCTTATATGGCCATTGAAAGACTGGCATGGCCACTGCAGGGCTTGTATGGCCACTGCAGGGCTTGTGTGGCCACCAGGGAGCATGTATGGCCACTGAAAGGCTCATATGACTACCAAGGGGCTTGTGTGGCCAATGAACTATTGTTTTTGTTTATTGTGATCAAGGGGCCTTACTTTAAGTATTAAAACTGACACATTTTAAATTGTGAGCATGAGCCTTTTCATGCTGGACTGGGTCCTATGAGAACCTAGACCCCCACTCAACCTCTGTTTTTAGAGCAATGTCCAGCCCTTTGCTATGTGGCATATCATGTTGATGTAATGTAATGAATGTAAATATGCAGCATGTCATGTTGATATTGATGGATGTAAATATAAATTCATGCTACTTGGAATCTGGCTTTTTAGAAGCCTGCATACACAATTCTTGGGGGGCTAATCAGGCAGCACTTGACCCAGAACCAAGGTATCTAACCTGCCCAGCACATTTGACAAGCCTGAGGTACTTATATGCTGAATTGAACACTACCTGGTTAAATGCTGATTAACCAATTTTATGCATGGGGAGGGGCCACAGGCAACTAATGCTAAGCCAGTTGTATTAAAGTATGAAAAATATGGACATCCCTACCACACAAGTAGCCAAATATTGAAACACTGAGATAAGCACTTACTCCATGATAACCTTACATAGAGAAAATAATTATTTTCTTGAATGTGATACTTAACAGCAAGGCTGTAGTTCTATCACTGTTAAGTCCTTCATTTCCAAAATTGTGTAATAAGCCACTTGATTTTCCTGTCACACATAAAAAATGAGCAATGAATTCAACATTTGTGAGGACTGTGTCACTCTTAGCATACAGGTATTTCTAATATGGAGCCTGCTGAAATTTTGAGGAAAAAGTAGTACGCAAAAGGCAGCGGGCCAGTTGCCCCTTTTCACCCCCAGTAATGCTGCCACTGCACAACAATGGTTGTGCCCCACTTGACTTGGCAGCTATTCTTGCTATTTCATTTCATGCTTTTCCACAACATAAATAGCATGATGATCCCTTCAGCTTGGTCTAGCATCCTGGGCTTTCAAACAGCCCCCAAATTTGAAAACCTATCCTGGTACCTGCTCAGCCATTTACTGTTCCACCAGTAGTGGTGCCTTGGCCCTCATCTGCCCCACAATGTATGATAAAAACCTGTCACATATCATGAGCTGATATTTGCAGGGAACTGGGGAGATCTTATCATTTGTAGGCCACTTATATATCCTTAAGATGAGCCAGACTTCATTAATGTGTTCCATCAGTTTAAAACTGAGCATTACCATGCTGTCCACTTCACATCAGTGCAATTGGCAGTTACAGTTAAGACTGTAAGAGAGAGTCCCATATGCTTATCGATACAAATGCAGCAAATCTTAAATAGTTCAACTTCAAGCCGCAGCCCAAACATGAACATATATACTTGGAAAGTGTGGGGCAGCCTTGATTAGGTTGAATAAACGCTATAAGAGGACAAGTAAACCTGCTTTCTTCACACACACAAAGCATTCCATCAATGGAAAGGCAGACACCCAACAACTCCGCCTGGTACGGCAGCTTACCCGTACACCACGAGCCGGCACCTCCCCCACGAAATGGTATTTTTCGATATTTCAATCGCCGTTTCAAGTATCGTCCTCTTGGTGCTGCGCCATAATATGGACTGTCGACAAATGCAGCTATGGCGCGGAGGCAAAACTAGCGCCATTTTTAGAACAAAAATATATATTTACCTATCTTTCTCAAAAAAAGTTTTTCTATAAATCTAAAAACTGTTATTACTCTTTAGATACTTTCTTTATCACTCATAAGGCACTTGATGTAATAATTTGTAATGTATCTTGGGAAACTGTGTTATAAATATATTCATCTCAGCTGCGCGCGCAGGAAAGATGCAGGAGACCATAACAGATGAAATCACAATAATCTAGATCGTGGGATATTCGTCGTGGTTGTGGTGGGGCTGCTATTCTCCTGCTAATTTTACACTCTCGCCATCCTGGATACCGAAGGAATATGAAGAGGCGTAATGCTGATATAGCCAAACTGAGGAGACCTCTGAAGAAGGCGAAAATTGGGGATGGGGTGTATGGAAGGTGAGTAAATGGACGAACGCCAGTTTTGTCGAAAAGCATGCCTTTCTGCTTTATGTTTTTGTGGGGGCGATTATTGTTAGCATGCCAAATCGTGGCCAATTTGTTATGCTTGTGAAATGTAATCTGAGTGAAAAAGGTGTCATGCCTTGGTCGAATGAACATCTGTTTGCAGCATGTGCATCATTTGTGCAGCTTCCCTTAAATTTGTGTGCATTTTGATGACCTGCTCATGTTTATATGATGAGAGATGATCACATTTCAGAAGTGATGTTTTTGGTGTCCTAAATATGGAGCAAAGTTATTGATACAAAATTGTTATGAATCCTTTAAATAATACAAGTTGCATACATTTGGATATTGTCCAGGTGTTTCCAATACTGCAGGTTGTTTCTCCTTTAATGTGATCTATCAGCTTGCTGGTAAAATTCAGATGGTGGGTGACAATGAGAGCAGTGCCTCATCTGACCATGGACATGTATGAATGGCTTATATGTCCTGATCACAGAACACTCAAAAAGCACAGTCCTTGGCCTGGTGGTTGAGGTGCAATTTGGAGCTGGTGCTGTGATTTTTAGTTATCTTTGGCTAGTGAAACAGTTGTTTAATATTACACATTGCACAATGAAATTATAAAGGCAACTGCAAAAAGGATGATGACATCCAAAATATCAGATCAGGGATTAATAGCTTATATTTTTTGACACATCATGGTCCTTCTAATCAACCAGTCATCATCTTGGGATCATTTAATTTCATGGCATGTCTTTCATCATCATTCAGGCTTATGTTGTATACATAATAGTTAAGGTCATTTGTCAAAATGTGGCATGCATTACTGCACTTTATTAGCATATTTAGAATGTGGCATACATTACTGCACTTTATTAGCATGGTATTTGGATCTGAAGTCTGTAAGATATAACTGGTAGCCTGCTTCATATCCTAGCCACAGTACTAAATGTCCAGCCTTTTTAGAACAATGAGGAGATAGCTGGCCAACAGGGCACCAGTAAGTATGTTATGAAGGTATCCTTTTACAAATGTCAGGAGTTTTGCAACATACAGTAATAAGTCAATGCTGTAATCCCCAACCTATGTATGCAGAGCATGGCATACAATTCCCTAAAAGGTTGGCTAGGTTGATACATGTTATAGCCCCACCTAGGATGGTGAAGCGGGTGCTGTAAACATGGTGTGATTTGTCATTGCCAAGGTTTAAGATACTGGACTGCGGGGAAAGATACCTGTATGGAAACAGCATGCTTAACATGCTTATGAAAAGAGGAATAACTCATTGTAAATTACAAAGTAAAAGGATTGCAATGGCAAGTTGTAATGATAAAGCCAGTGGGCCATTGGGCAAACCAGACATTATATGAGTTGGTTGTGTCACCTTTTGTGAAATATTATACGTGGAATCATATGTGCAGGGTCTGAAGGCTGATGACAAAGTTGTCTGTTGCATTAGGTGAATGCTGTCTGGGTTGCAGGCTCAATATTTTGCATATCATATGGCAGCATTCCAGGAGCAGGAGAGGTGACTTGGCATTATTATTGTTTCCTTTCTTTCAAGGCATCAATAGATGTGATTATTAACTTCACATTATGCAAGTTTTATGAAAAATTCAAGCCCTGCACACTTTGCATGCCCCCACCCCTCTTGAGCCCTCTCATATGCCTTGTGCTCAACGCATTGGCGGTGAGCTCGGTTTAGCATTTACTTCAGTATACAAAGTCAAGAAGCATTTTTTCAACCTGATATAAGCCAGTGGGACTTAGTCCATGCTCTGTGACACTAACACTGTCTTTGACAGTAGCCAATATAATGCTGACTGCTCTGTTGTGTGTGTAGCCATACCAAGTGTTAACACATTGGGTTAAATACATTCACAAATATCTCTTGGTTTTTTGAACATATAGTATTGAAATAACAAGATGTGTTATATGCAAATTCAGGTTCATAAAGAGTGTGGTGCATATGCCTGAGAGTAGGGATGTAGTTCCCTTTTCAGTTGGGGGGCCTCATCCCCCTCCCAACTTTGGCTCCAGCCCCTTCTCCCAACTTTGGGAAGAAAGTGGGCCAAATTTGGGGAGAAATCTGTTTGTTGGCATGTTTGGGGAGAAGGCTGGGCCATTTTTCACAGTTCAGTCATCCTCTCAGTCCCCCCCCCCCCCCCATTTTGTGAAACTACACCCTGGATGGGGGCCTTTTGTCAAGCATATCATAAGTTGCTGCTATATGATGATGGCCATTACTGATTTCCTGTTTACAAATTTCTGTGACTCTGATAAGGACCAGATTCTTAGGGTACTAGGGTAGATTCTATGGTGTTTCGGTCTGGGACAGTGTGACAGGCTCACACTGGTGGGCTTTTTAGTTTATTGTGGTGTGGTGACAAACCCGGCACTGCACGTGCACATATGCCAGAGGTGCATCAATTAGGCTTCTCTCAAGCTGTGGCAGTTTCAGCAGAGTTTGTCAGGTTTTGTCAGGTCAGGTTTTGCCAGCAAGTTTGTCAGGTGGTGAACAGGCAGAGGCTGGGTGACATGGGCAGTAGGAGGGTGGAAGTGAGGGCAAATTCTGGGTTCAATCACATGGTTAAATCCTGTATGATTTAAAACCAGGTTGAGTGGCCTTTCAAACAGGGTTGAATGTCCATCAGCCCACACTCAGTGGAAGTTCAATGCCTGTGATGCCTGTGGGGAAACATGAAACAAAAGGCTTTAGAAGTGGTGACCACACACTTGGACCGCTCTTACACCCCCGGCCATTTGTAGGTGGGACAAAAGAAGAGTATGTTCCCTTTTGCATAACACACACAGCAAGTGAAACTATTTACAGCAGGTCTCTGGGAGTGGTATTGTTAAGCTGTGTCTGCTCCTGTTTGATGGTAATAGGATTGATGGATGCTCCAGGTGATGATCTGAATTGAAATTCCCTGTGTCATTTTTGGTGTCATGCATATTTTTAGTGGCATTCTGGTGTGTTAAGGCCTGTTATTGTCTTTGTGTCCCTCCCTTGTCATCCGCCATTATTGGATTTTTGAAGGATTGGAAGACATATGACATCATAATGCATAATAAACATTCACACTGGGCCATACATGGGATGCCTGTTGTGGGACGGGAGTCACACTGCCTTGATGTATCTGTGATTATGATGTACTGATACATGCTGTATTTGTTCCAGCACATTTGCGTACCTGAAGATGGTGATGCTATGGACCGCAGTTCTGATGTGTGACTTCCTCTTTGAGCTGAGGTTTGAATACTTCTGGCCATTCTGGATGTTTGCCAGATCAGTCTACGACTCATTCAGATACCAGGGGCTGGTGAGTATTTTTGAACTCTTGCTATTTGCTCTCCATTTGGTAGATAGTGTGGTACTGTGCCTGTATATATGGGTCCAGTTCACCTGTTCGCACATCCAGACATTTTCATTCAACGAAGAGTTGTTCCTTCAGGTATGATAATGTGATTTCTACATGGGAAGGAAGTGTGTTTTTCATTGGAATAATTTCAGTTGATTTGTTGAGTAGCTAAAGCTCATGCTGTGTGAGTGATATGGTCCAGCCCATGCCAGTTTGGAAAAAAACAGGTATTTTGGCCAAGATGCCTTTCCATTTTGACGGATCTCTGAAGGCAGGGAATTCATGAGACAATCAAACTGCGGTTTATGGCCCCAAGCCACCTTCGGGGTCAGTTAGTGTTCGTGTTTGTTCACCGGCCGAATAACTCAAATCTACACCACGTTTCGTGAAATGTACAGAACTTATTTTAGCACCGTTCATTACCATTCACACGTTTCTTTGGAACACGCAAGTTGTACGTTTTGTGACTTTGGTCTTTTTTCTTGTTCAGGCTAATTATTTTATTTTTGCATTTATCCATCGTCTTTCAGGTGGTGTCTTCCTTAATTTTACGAGACTTGTATTAAAGTGTTCACAACATGTGATTAACATAAAGTTTGGAACAACTGAGAACTGGCATGTTGTCAGGAATGCAGTCGGTCGAATAGCCTGGTGCCTCGTTCAAATTTCGCATGTTGTCATCTCGCTATGTACTGTGGGGCCACTCTTATTCCATACCTCACATTATGGACAACCCTGGGTGCAAACACTGTGCTTCCTGATCGCCAAGGATGTTTCCGTAGCTTTTGACGTCTAGCATTGACAGATGTATCATTCAAATTAAGTGCTGGGTGTATTTACACCCGATTTGCTTTGTTTGTTTTGCTTGCCACGGGTAGGGCTATTTAGGGCCGCCATTTTTGTGTGATGAAGATACAATTTTTCATTTGATGGTCGGAGGGTGCCTTTCGTTGACATATTGACTTTGGCCGCGTATTAGGTTGACCCTACACCAATTAAATCCAACGAAATGAGTTAAAGTGAATAGAAATAAAACATCGCGGCTGTAAGACCGGTGACGAACGCGGATAGGAAATGTCCTCTTATTGTGGCCCGGAGATCACGTAGGAGTATAAATTGACGTCTGATCGTCAGTTAGGTTTTTTATTTTCATTAAAAGTCATCGAAATTGAAGAATAAAGGATAAACTTGCTAGATTCGGCATGAAATCACCTATGCAACAATGGTTGGTGATTATGATCACGTGTGCAATTGCTGGCACCATTTATGCATCAAAACGGATTTTTCGTTAAGTCAAAGTACTTGGGAAGCTGGAGGAGTTGAACGGTACAGGACCTAAGTATGCTTCTTATAACAGCTGGAAATGGAGCGGGTTAGCAAAACAAGGCCAAAGGAAAGTGTACTTATACGAGCTTCTGCTTCCACGCAGACCCATCAAACAATTTCTTTTAAATCGGGGCGAGCTGAGGATCTTTCAAATTGAAGTCGTTGATGCGTATGTGCTTCAGTTGGTCATGGTTTTCTTCTCCTAAATACTGCGTGTGGACCAACAGCTTCGATGTTGTGTTACAGGCGTTCTCCTTGTTCTTCGTCTTGATGACTCTGACATCGGACATGATCTGCTACATATTCATACCAGTCCACTGGCTCTTCTTCGCTGCAAGCACATACGTCTGGGTGCAATATGTGTGGCACGCAGGTGAGATAGCCTCTACTAACGGCCTACCAGGGTCGGACGACGCATCGTGTGCCGTCTTGCTTGTCAACGGTCGGAACAGTTATTGGTGTTGTATGCATTGTCACGTAAACCTTTAGGTACGAGTTTTTGAACAAAGGATTATTTGTGGATGGCCTACGTGGAATGGAGACGTGATATTTCAGCACTGCGGTGCGCACAGCCGGTATCAAATCAGTACCGTCAACACCAGAGCGTTTGTCGGTATCTTGCCGGTGCCAGGAACCTTTACCTGTGTGAGTGCCGGTACTAGGAAATGACCAAGCAGTGCAAAAATGCATGTACCTGCGAAAAGTTTCAGCTACCAGGGAATGTTTTCCGGTGCTGAATGCGTTTAACCTGGAAGCCAATACCGTTTCTAGGCCGACGCACAATGCATCGAGATAAATGACACTCTGTGAGTGCGGTTCTTTTTAAGAAAGATGTGACTTCTGTCAATGACTTCTTGTTCAGAATTATACTGGGGCTCTAAACAAGCACGTCTCCTCCCATTTATTTTGTTTCTTTTTAGAATCAGGGCTTGGTATGGTTAGTTGACTTTTTAGGTATGCAGGTCTTGGGGGAAATCGATTGTCTGGCCAGGGGGTAAGGGCGGTCGATTGTGTAGCCAGGAGGTAAGGGGGGGGGGGGGGTCGATTGCCCGGCCAGGAGGCTCAGGGCATCATGTGGGGGCTACTTCTAAACGGCTCACAGAATGAAGGATGTCTGCCCCTTGTCGGCAGCTCCGTGTTGGCTTGGTGAACCGTGCCGTCGCGTCACGTGACGACAGATGCCAGTAGCCATCCGTGTGGCGTGCCGCAGGAAACGTGCCGCTGGGGCTGCTAATTCCAACTTCCGTTTTACCTGATCACGTCAATGCTGCGCTAGTAGTAGAGCCTGCCCGGACACCGGCAATATGGTTGAGGGTGCGGTTAATCTGGTCTGAGGTGCAAGTTGATTACATTGTTTACATGATTTGCCAGACCCCGAGCAAAGGCCACGGGATTGGCCGGAGTGAAAGGTCCTGCCCACAGGATCATGTCCGTGAACCCATCGTGTCTCGTGCGGACGTTCGTCCATTTAAAAGGGATGAGGTTATGTTTCATTGGGTTTGTGGGCTTGTTCAGTTATCCTACGTCGGTATCAGTGGACTTACGACGCTTCATTACGGACGTGCCACGAGATGAAGTGCTAGTGTGAGATTCTCAACCAGATGCAAGCATTGTTTCAATTTTAAGCACACCATGAAAAAATCGCACATCACACTCAGGGATAAGGAGGAGGGGGGGGGGGGGGGGAAGGGGCATCGATGGTTCCTCCGCCCAGTGCCTCGCCCTGATGCACGCCGCGCTCGGGGCCGAGCTCCTCTCGTGGACTAGCTGAGTGCCACAGCGCTCTGCCAGCACATCACAAGCGCGTGCGAACGAAGCATTGGTCACTAATCGGTCGCAGGACGGGCCCTCCGACTCGATATAACCTTAGCAGCTGAGTGCGTCGTAAAGTCCCAATGACGACGAGGACCAGCCTCGTCGTGGCGCCGCCAGGACCGCCGATGTCCGGATTAGCCGGCAACCGCGGCCATACTGGGACTGCCGCCGTGCACTGGCGCTCCTGTGCCGGATCTCGCAGATGAACGTCGTGATATCGAGCGTGCGGTACCATTCACGCACCGCGCCGCGTTCTAACGCCTCGGCTCCTGCTTCCCTCGGCCCCAGTGCCGGCGCCAGCGTCGGACGTCGCTGCCCCCTGGGAGCAGCCGCACCGCGGGCTGCGGCTCAGAGGCACCGGTGTCAGCCTGTCCGGGGCTACGTGACGTAATTGGGCGGACCGCCGCCGCCGTCGCGCGCGTGTGTTGTGTGTATCGACTGGACGGATCGGGGCCACCGCGCCGGCCCCGCCAGCCCCGAGACAGCCGCCGAGCACGATGACGAGTCGTCACCGGCGCATTGATCGTGCCAGTTATTGCGACCGCCGTCCGTGCGCCGCGGGCGTCTCACCTGACCTGGTGTCCAGGGGGCTGGGGTCCAGATCCGCGGACCGTCTGTCCTCTCGTCTGGCCTGGTGCCCGGACCGTATGTCTCCTCATCTGACCCGGTGCCCAAGCCGTCCGTCTCCTCACCCGCCCAGGTGTCCGAACCGTCCGTCTCCTCACCTGCCCTGGTGCCTGGACCGTCTCTCTTCACCTGACTTGGTGCCCCGGACCGTATGCCTCCTCACCTGACCTGGTGCCCCGGGCCTGCTGTTTTCTCACCTGGCCTGGTGCCCCGGACCGTCTGTCTCCTTACTTGACCTGGTGCCCCGAACCATCTGTCTCCTCACCTGACCTGGTGTCTCGGACCTGCTGTTTTCTCACCCGGCCTGGTGCCCCGGACCTGCTGTTTTCTCACCTGACCTGGTGTCCCGGACCTGCTGTTTTCTCACCTGACCTGGTGTCCCGGACCTGCTGTCTCCTCACCTGGCCTGGTGCCCCGGACCTGCTGTCTCCTCACCTGGCCTGGTGCCCCGGACCTGCTGTTTTCTCACCTGATCTAGCGTCCCGGACCCGCCCGCTCCTTCATGTGAATTGCTCTGACATCACGGGAAGTCTGTCCGCTTTGCAATTTCTCCCGAACGACCTGCCTTCTGCTTCGCCTGAAGTTTTAGACCGCCGCGTGGGCGATGGCAACCATCCTGAAGTCATTCATCCAAATCATCCCAAAAATGGTCACTCGACATCCCAGTGAGCCCACCAGCGTCCTGGCTCTGAGGGTGCCATGGCTGAGGCCGACCTCTGGGGGCGCGGGCCTGGCTCTGAGGGTGCCATGGCTGAGGCCGACCTCTGGGGGTGCGGGCCTGGCTCTGAGGGTGCCATGGCTGAGGCCGACCTCTGGGGGCGCGGGCCTGGCTCTGAGGGTGCCATGGCTGAGGCCGACCTCTGGGGG